CAATAAGAATGATTACACTTCAAAAAAAACACTTTATTTTAATTTAAAAACAAATCAGTCAGAGTCCTATGTCCGGTCATTGTCAGCTTACTCACGGGTTCCAATTTCGGATTTTAAAAGATAAAAAGTAAACGAGAAAAACATAAGCACATATCAAAAACTGCGCGAATAACACACGCAGCCACAAAAAATACCATCGAAAACGAACATGGAAAAGAAACTATCAGCTAAAAAAAACGGTATACACGAGCCACGGAATATAGCGTCGAGTATTGCTGGAGAAAAAAAAGGAATGACCAACAAGGGTCAATGAGTTTGAAAAAATGCCTAAAACTGAACTACCTTCACCTTATTTGCAGTTTGTGTTAAGTCGTGTACAGTCCGCTTCCTCCATCGTCAGAATTGTACGTCTGCTCATTGGAGTTAATGAGAAATAAATTTGTTTCGCTGGTCGAAAGAAAGAATACAAAAATACGTAAGACACATAAAAAGAAACAACCTGCGAAACAATAATGAAGCACAAATAGTGGAAGCCAACAATACGCCATGGTAAAGAAAGCAAGAAAAGAAAAAAGAAACTCAGAGCCTTACCTTTCGTTAAACAGGCCAAAAGTTTTGCTCAAACTGAAAAATTACTTATCTTATGCACTTCAGTGAGAAACATCTAAATGCTAAGTGACCAGTCATCTTCAGCTCGCTTCCTTCTTCGCACATCTATGACCTAAGAATCAATAGACACCATCTTGAAGAAAAGAGAACAAAATAATTAAAACTGAATCCCACAGGTCAACGAAACAGAAAGAAACCGAGAGCTAACGAAACGACGGAACAAACGCGACGGCAAGAACGTATACGCCCGAGGAACAAAGATCTAGCGCACGAACTGTTTTTCACGAAAATTGAAAGACGGCACAGATAAAAATACATTTCCCTTAAAATTAAAGAAAATGTAGCTCTTTTTTGGGGAGGGGAGTCTGACCAGTTTGGACTACATTTTGATTAAACAAATAAAATGAAGCTGACGTTCATTTCAATGTAGCAATTGTCCAGTGGAAGCAATCTAACCGGTGTCTTCAGCTCGATTCAGCCATCCATCCAGAGGCTCCATACATCAATTTTCTGAACATCAAAACACAGACACTAAAGAATAGACAATGTGCATTAATTCCACATAAAAAGATTCAAGCTGAATCCAAGGTTTTAAATTTTAGCTCAAAAACACCCTCAAGAGCTCAAAAACGACGGTAAAACGACCGTTAAACGACGATGGTTTTAAGTTTAAATCGATTTCTTGAACAGTTGTTAAAGAAAACAAAGATAAAAAAGGGACAAGGACAAGAAACGATACAAAATGGAAATTACTAAAGCAGAAAATGTGCAAAAATAAAACAAAACAAAACCCCCAAATACAAAACAGCAACCACCACAACATACAGCAAACAGAAAGCAAAACAAAATGACAATAAAGAAATTTTAGCAAAGTTGTGTTTGCCTATCAGGTTCTGTACGTTTGCTTTTTCCTTTGTCGACCGTTTGCGTCATACAGTCCTGAACATGAAAGAGCTAAGTTTTAGAAAAACTAAAAAGAAAGAAACATTACTTGAAATCAAAATCATGAAACGAAATGCTAGCCATTACAACGGTACATGCAAGAAAGTAAACATTATTTGAAGGATCGAAAGCGAAATAAAAAAACACTGATCACAAACGCGTCACAAAGACACAAATTTATGAATAGTCCTTAAAGGGAAACAAGAAGGGATTAAAAACTCACATTCAAGCAGAATGTCCGTTCCAATTCATAAGAAATACGTCTGAAATATAATTTCTTTATTCGATAATGTGCAAAAATACGATTAACTGTCATTTAGTTCGACACCCCGTGAATCAACAAAGCTCCTACATTATATTCTCCCTTTCCGTTTATATGCTGCCAATTTAGCACTTCCTGTATGCACAATAATAATCACATCAGGGTCACGATGTCAAAAACATTTGAAAGAGCCATGAAAAACGGAAAAGGATATTTCATGTTGCTTGTCTGTGTTTGATGTTGTGTATGTAATTAAGATGACTTTTAGCAAGAAATGTTTTAAAACGGACATTTGTTATTTTTTCTGAAAACCTTGAAAACAACAACACTGAAAGTGAGTTTCAGGTGGTCGCACTGAGTAAATATGCTCTCGGCTGTACTTATAATAAATGAATAAGTATTGGGTTTCTTCGCTTGTATTTTTAAAGATACTTGTTTACTCGCAATTTCGAATGGCCAAGCTCACGCAGTTGAAAGCTGGGCACAGATATGAATGCTTAGATGCACACGTTTAACACCGAGTGACCATTTCCATTACATTCCATGGCTGAATACTGCGATCGGACAGTTCACATCAGAACTATGTATGAAAACGGTTTTTTACATCCATTGTGGTCTAAGTACTTTGAAACTGGACCTTTTTTAAACAATGAAATATTTTAAATCATTTCTTTACATCTGTTGGTGCCATTTCTGTGACGTCAACCATGGAGGAGGCTATTTATATTGTGACCCCATTTCTGAATGACAATCAAACTGCATTGACACTGCACTGCATTGAAATTGATTTAAATTGAACAATGCAGGTACCCAATGTTGCATACAGAATAAGCTTGCGTGTGCATCAACAAATCGCCCGCATGAGGTGACTACAATACGGCAATCTATCCGGATCTACTTCATAATTTTTGAACATTATAAATATTGAAGAAAGTACTGAAAAACCAAGACTATCCCGAATACGTCATCGTTCACAAACAGATAACCTGTAGCACAAGTGAAAACAGACTCCAACCAGCCTCAATTAACCGTATAATCTCACCAGCTCGAGACATCAAGATACCATGATACCCCGAAATCAAGAATCCAGTTCACGAAGACATCAAGAATCCAGTTCACGAAGACATCACGACATCAAAACATCAAGACACAAGGACATCAAGACATCAGGACACCAAGACAAAAGGACACCAAGATATCAGGACATCAAGACATCAGGACATCAAGACATCAGGACATCAAGGCGACAGGACATCAGAACATCAAGAAATCAGGATATCAGGACATCGGGGGAAAAGTCAGAGGAAGGAGGTGATTTAGAAGGAAGAACTCCAACCAATCCCATCCAACCAATCTCGTCATCCACTTCCTCAAGACATCAGTATATCCAAACAGCAAGACATCACGACATCGAGAAACCAAAGCATCAGGACGTCAAGACATCAGGATATCAAGACACCAGGACACCAAGACGTCAGGACGTCAAGACAACCAGGACATCGTGACACCAAGACATCAAGACACCAAGACATCAGGNCAAAACTGAATCCAACAGGTCAACGAAACAAGAAGACACCAAGAGCCAACGAAACCTTATCACCTTATTTGCAAATTGTGTTAAGTCGTGTACAGTCCACTTCCTCCATCGTCAGAATTGTACGTCTGCTCATTGGAGTTTATGATGAAAAATAAACTTGTTTCGCTGGTCGAAAGAAAGAATACAAAAATACAAAAGGCATATAAAAAGAAACAACCTGCAAAACAATAATGAAGCACAAATTGTGGAAGCCAACAATACGCCGTGGTAAAGAAAGCATGAAAAGAAAAAAGAAACTCAAAGCCTTACCTTTCGTTAAACAGGCCAAAAGTTTTGCTGAAACTGAAAAATTGCTTATCTTATGCACTTCAGTGAGGCACATCTAAATGCTAAGTGACCAGTCATCTTCAGCTCGCTTCCTTATTCGCACATCTATGACCTAAAAATCAATAGACACCATCTTGAAGAAAAGAGAACAAAATAATAAAACTGAATCCCACAGGTCAACGAAACAGGAAAAAACCGAGGGCTAACGAAACGACGGAACAAACGCGACGGCAAGTACGTATACGCCCGAGGAACAAAGATCTAGCGCACGAACTGTTTTTCACGAAAATGCAAAGACGGCGCGGATAAAAACACATTTACCTTAAAATTAAAGAAAATGTAGCTCTTTTTTGTGGGGGGGTCTGACCAGTTTCGATTACATTTTGATTAAACAAATAAAATTAAGCTTACGTTCATTTCAATGTAGCAATTGTCCAGTGGAAGCAATCTAACCAGTGTCTTCAGCTCGATTCTGCCATCCATTCAGAGGCTCCATACATCAATTTTCTGAACATCAAAACACAGACACTAAAGAACAATAGACAATGTGCATTAATTCCACATAAAAAGATTCAAGCTGAATCCAAGGTTTTAAATTTTAGCACAAAAACACCCTCAAGAGCTCGAAAACGACGGTAAAACGCGACGGTAAAACGACAGTTAAACGACGATGGTTTTAAGTTAAAATCGATTACTTGAACAGTTGTCAAAGAAACCAAAGATAAAAAAGGGACAAGGACAAGAAACGATGCAAAATGGAAACTACTAAAGCAGAGAATGTGCAAAAATAAAACAAAACAAAACCCCTAAACCCCCAAACAAATACAAAACAGCAACCACCGCAACATACAGTAAAAGAGAAAGCAAAACAAAATGACAATAAAGAAAGAAATTTAACCAAAGTTGTGTTTACCTATCAGGTTCTGTATGTTTGTTTTTTCCTTTGTCGACCGTTTGAGTCATATAGTCCTGAACATGAAAGAGAAAATACTAAAACAAAAGAAACGTTACTTGAAATCAAAATCCTGAAACGAAATGCTAGCCATTATAAAGGTACATGCAAGAAACTAAACATTATTTGAAGGATCGAAAGCGAAATCAAAAAACACCGATCACAAACGCGTCACAAAGACACGAATTTATGAATAGTCATTAAAGGGGAACAAGAAAGGATTAAAAACTCACATTCAAGCAGAATGTCCGTTCCACTTCATCAGAAATACGTCTAAAATATAATTTCTGTATTCGATAATGTACAAAAATACGACTAATTGTCGTTTAGTTCAACACCCCGTGAATCAACAAAGCTTGTACATTATATTCTCCCTTTCCGTTTGTATTCTGCCAATTTAGCACTTCCTGTATGCACAATAACAATCACATCGGGGTGACGATGTCAAAAACATTTGCAAGAGCCATGAAAAACGGAAAAGGATATTTCATGTTGCTTGTCTTTGTTTGATGTTGTGTATGTAATTAAGATGACTTTTAGCAAGAAATGTTTCATAACTGACATTTGTTATTTTTTCTGAAAACCTTGAAAACAACAACACTGAAAGTGAGTTTCAGGTGGTCGCACTAAATAAATATGCTCTCGGCTGTGGTTATAATAAATGAATAAGTATTGGATTTCCTCGCTTGTATTTTTAAATATACTTGTTTACTGGCGATTTCGAATGGCCAAGCTCACGCAGCTGAAAGCTGGACACAGATATGAATGCTTAGATGCACACGTTTAACACCGAGTGACCATTTTTATTACATCCCATGGCTGAATACTGCGATCGGACACTTCACGTCTGAACTATGTATGAAAACGGTTTTTTACATCCATTGTGGTTTAAGTACTTTGAAACTGGACCTTTTCTTGAACAATGAAATATTTTAAATCGTTTCTTCACAGCTGTTGGTGCCATTTCTGTGACGTCAACCAGGGAGAGGGCTATTTATATTGTGACCCCATTTCTGAATAACAATCAAACTGCATTGACACTGCACTGCAATACTCAGTAGAAATTGATTCATCAAGACCCCAGGACAATCAGGACATAATGACGCTAAGATATCAAGGCAATCGGGACATCAAGGCATCAGGACATCAAGATATCAAGACATTAGGACACCAAGACATCAGGACACCAAGACATCAAGACAATCAGAACATCAAGACACCAGAATATCAAGACAACCAGGACATCGTGACACCAAGACATCAAGACACCAAGACATCAGGACATCAATAAATTAGGATATCAGGACATCAGGGGAAAAAGTCAGAGGAAGGAAGTGACTAAGAAGGAAGAACTCCAACCAGTCTCATCCAACCGATCTCATCACCCAATTTCCCAAGACATCGGGCTATCCAGACATAAAGACATCGAGACATCAGGATACCAAGACATCAGGACATCAAGATATCAGGACATCAAGACACCAGGACGTCAAGACACAAAGACAATCAGGATATCAAGACACCAAATTACAAGGACACCAAGACATCAAGATTTAGAATATTAATAGACCAGGACCTCAAGACACAAAGACGTCAGAACTTCGAGACATCATGACATAAAGACCCTGGTCTTCAATACATAAAGAATTGAGCTTTACAAAATATCAAGACAACCACGACATCGTGACACCCAGACATCAAGACACCAAGACATCAAGACATCAGGAGACCAA